CACTTCAACACCTCAAAGGAACTCCAAGAAAACAAATCTTATATAAGACAAATAGAAGTGAGGGGCCGAACCAGCCATAATTTTCAGGAAGATCCCTCAAAAAAAAAAAATTCTAATATTGGTTATTGCATCCTCTTTGGTGAAAAGCTAATCATTTGGAATAGCAAGAAGCAATCAATAGTACTAAATCTTGTGCTAAAACTGAATTTCAACCAATGACCCATTGAATCTATGAACTTTTATGAATCAAATTCAACCAAAATGGCATTGGAATAAAATGAAAAAATAAAATGAAATCATATATATATATATATACATATTAGAAAGTGGATTGTTATTTATCTGTTAGACCAGTCCATTGGACCGGTCCACGCGGGACCGGCCCGAGATCGACGAGGCGAATTGCCTCCGCCCCGTTTCCGCGATCGAGCGCACCGCCAACATCCACAAACTGTTTTTGTAAGGATTTTTGAGGGATTTGGGAGGGGAATTTGAATGTAGGGACTGTTTAGGGATTTCCTTTTGATTTGTATGCATTAAATACTTTGTTTTCCTAGGGCTTGGGTATCTTGAATTTGGTTGAAATTTGATATCTCTTAGATTTAGATTTTCTTTGGGCTCTAGCGGCGTCTAGAGATTTGGGTGAGATCGATCCTCCTCTCGAATTGAGGATCAAGTGTATCTTGCTATTTTCCATGTTCCTTTCATCAAATAATACAAATTATCTATTGTTTGTGTGATTTTTGTGCAGACTTTTTGTGAAGATTCTCGCTGTTTTGAGAAGATTGATAGGAAATACTCGCGATCTACAAGTGTTTCCAATCAAATTGGTATTATATCAAAGTCTTGGGACCGGTGGAGGGCTGTTTTCGGCAAATTCTAGCAGCAGATTTTTGCCGGGAAAAGGAGGAAGTTGCTGTTTTTTTACTCCAAAATCCAGATTTTGTGAATCGACAAACTCCGGATTGTAATGGCGGCCAAGAAAGTTGATGCTTTGGATGACAGACTCGAAGGAGAGATTAATCACATCAAAGAAACCGTGGAGGAAAGAATTTCTTCCATGGAGGGGCAGGTGGCCGATCTCAGGGATATTATGAAAAGAATGCTGGAGATTCAAGCATAAACGGCGGCATCCGAAGCGAATGGCCCGGAAGCGAAGAACACCAATTGTGAAATCCGTAAGCAGGAAGAAGATGTGAAAATTGTGGAAGGGGAAAGAAGAAGACCATATGTGGAGCCTTTCCATAGGGAAGAAAGAGGAGATCAACATGGGGAAAGGTATGGCTATGGGGAAGCGGAGCAAAGAGGGGTTGATTGGGAACGCCATGAGGGGTTTTACGGCCATCGGGGTGCTGATTTTGAAGAAAAGGGGAATCTCGAAGGGAGTTTGGGCTATGGCAAAAGCAAGAGAAGATCATGAAACATGGGGTGGACCTAGCACTTTGGAGAGGAAAAATTATGGGAGAATCAGAGGAAATGATGGCGACCAGAAGGTGAGGAAGTTGAAGATGCACATATTCGAAGGAGAAGATGCGTATGGGTGAATTTACAAGGTCGAGCGATACTTTGCCGTCAATGGGCTGACAGAGGAGGAGAAGCTGACAGCAGCGGGATTGTGCTTGGAAGGAAAAGCCCTATCATGATTTCAAAGGAGAGACCAGAGGAGGCCTATCATGAACTGGAGGGAATTCAAAGACTGCATAATAGAACGTTTTCAAACCGACAGGGAAGGAGATTTCTATGAGCAGTTCTTTGCTCTGGTGCAGGAAGGATCAATAGCAGACTATCGTGAGCGGTTCGAGCACCTGGCTAGTAGGGTGGAGCGATTATCAGATATTGTATATGAGGGGAACTTCATGAAGGGGTTGAAGGCAGAGATCCGAGCGACAGTGAAAGTTCTGATGCCTAATGACTTGGAGGAGGCAATGAAGTTGGCACAGCTGGTGAAAAACCAGAAGAATCTAGAGAAGGGAGCCAGGAGCAGCAGCTCATGAGACTCTTACAAGACTACGACCGCTCTTTTAACACCCAAGGGGCCTGCATCATGCAACATTAATGAGACCACCAGGGAAAAGCCAGTAGGAGGGAGTGGGGAAAATTTCAAGAGACTGACAGAGAAGGAAATGCAGGAGAAGAGGGCAAAGGGGTTGTGTTTTAGGTACAAAGAGAAGTATACACCAGGGCATCGGTGCAAGGACCGAACTCTTCAGGTTCTCACCGTCTGCGATGACGAAGAAACTGAGTAGGGAGGTGAGGAGGAGACAGGAGGAGATGGAGGAGAAGCTACACTTGGATCTGGCTGAGGTTTCCCTAAACTTAGTGGTATGATTCACTACGAATCATACCATCAAATAAGAAATCCAACCCATCCATATTATTTGCATAAATCAACAATTTTAACCGTAAAATTTGATCACTTCTAACGAAGGTATGTTCATTATACAAACTTGATGACATGTGATGTAAGCAAAGCCCCCCTGCTTTTCCCGGTTCTCCTGGATGGTTGTTCGTCTTCTGCTCCAGCTCCTTGGCTTCCCGGTTTCCCCACCTGCTGGGTTGTTCGGTTCCCAACATTCCCGATTCCCCTTGCTGGTTGTTTGGTTCCTGCATGGCTTTCCCGGTTCCCTTGGCATTTGGTTATTCAGTTCTACTCTTGGCTATCCCGGTTCCCCTTGTAGCTATTTGGTTCTGCTCTTGGCTGTCCGGTTCCCCTTCTGGCTGTTCGGTTCAACGGTGCCTTTTTTTCTTGGGATTCTGATAAGCCTTAGGTTTCACAAATTAGGGTTTGCCCTAATTTCTCCTCCAAAAGGAGGAATTTCTCCACCAAAACCAAATGAGAGACACTCACAAGAGGGTTGAGATGAAAAGTAAGAACCTTTGCATTAGAAAGCCAAGAGAAAACAAGATAAGTTTGTCCACTTCGAGAAGGACAAGATCTCCCACAAGAAAACCCTAGAAAAGCACAAGAAAAAGACTAGAGGAAGAAAAACTAGAAAGAGAATACACTTTTCATAATGCCCCAAAACTAAACCCTAATGGCTCCCTTCATACTCTTTGAAAAATCCCTCCCATCCCCAAAATAACCCCACTTAAGTGGTGGGTCCCTTTGGTCCAGCCAGCCTGCCCCCTCCCCTTTTCTTCCGCCTATAAACCCGCACGGGTCCAGGCGCCGGTCTATCAGATTCCTCCTTGACTGTTCGGTTTCCGTTATGCCTTTTCCCAAAGGTTTTCCTGTTTTTTGTTGGTTGTTTGGGCGGCTATTTGGGTGTCCTTTGGGCTGCTATTATCCTATTTAAAGGGGAGTTTTGGGCAAGTTTTAAAAGAGATTATGGATGATTTTTGGAGCATCAAAACCTGAGGGTTCTTCTTTGATAGCTTGCGAGCTGTCCCCCTTTCTACTCTCCTCTCTATAACTTCGTCTTGGACTTCTTATCTTACTTCTTCTATCCGCAAGTTTCCACCCCATTTATATCTTTATTCTAAATCAATGAAAAGCTTTTAGATGTTTTTATTTCTAAGATTGTGTTTCTCGTGTGAGTTGAATGTGTTGTTCGTTATAATATAAAAGTTGTAAGGTGTCTTTTTGTCTTATTTAATTTTAGTTGAGTTTGTGTTTGTTAAAATTATTTTGAATGGAAGACATCAATTTATTTTGCAATCTTAGTTTCCTAAAAAATTTGGTTGCATCAACATGATAGAAGCTGACTAATTCACCTCACCCAAAAAATATATATATTTTAAGTTAACTTTTTGTTTCTGAAATCCAGTTCACAAATATTCTGAAAAAAAAACATATAGATAAGTTTTTACATGATTGCATGCTAGTAGATGCAAAAATATTGAATATTTTACCACAATATAGGTATCCTCCAGGTGTTAACTTTATCGGCTTAATGTATGACGAGATTTGGCAACTTACACAACATAAAAATTGCATGATGATCAAAACTAAAATGAAAGAAAGAAAATTGTACAGAAAATGCGACTCTTTCAATAAAAGGAATAATACCTCATGCATTAGCTGCACAACAAACACATAACATGTAAATGTGTTAAATTTATTTTGTGCAAAGCTATTTCACAACATCCAAGTAATTTAGCCAACCCTTTTTTCCTACTAATCATTTAACATTAATTTTCTCAAACCATCTTATTTCTAAATATTATATCCTTCATTATTCATGCCAAAATAACCTAAGCTTATGTTCCAATACCTTATCTTCAATAGATGCTACTCACGCATCCCTCTAAGATAATCATTTCTCATATCTTCCCTCTCTCTCTCTATCTCTATACATATTAAAATATTATCTTTAAAACTTCTAAAAGTTTCCTAAATGATAATGCAAAGAAAAAAAATAAAAAAGCTATTCACAGAGACTTTAGGTGTTTAATTTTGTATTATAAAAGTAAAAAGTCTGCATGCACTTGCTTGACATTAGGGGCATCCTTCAAGAAATTCTGATGAACGATTTAAACTTCAAACTCATTCAGAAACACCATGAGCCTAGAATGAAGACTTGAAGAGATAATATTTGAAAATAAAGCATAATGCATGATGTCCAACATATTCATGAGATGGTGATGCCCAAATTGGCTATTTGAATGTCTCATATACTCCTCTCAAAAGGTAAAGCATGATGTTTGAAAACATCCTGTGTGCACTAGATATGCAAGGTTAGATTGCTAGTTCAAGCTAACCTATGATAGTCCGTTAATAAGATGCTACCTTTTTCATTGAGTGATTTTATCTCATTAAGAGCTAAAAGTATTCTAATTTATGAATTCATGGAAAATTATGTTCAATTATGCATATGTATACAACTCCATACTTATGGAATCATCGACAAGGCTTAAAGAAAAAAAATCCCAACAGGAAATCAGTTCAATCAATCCAGTAAAGTTTATTAGAGAGATTAAAACTATATGAAAAATAATTCATATATTACAAAATGCACAATTAACACCAATCATTTATTTCCCAATAAAAAACCATCTACCTTTTTCATTGACAAATACATGCCCATCAAAGAACTCAGCAAACTCGAAGACGTCTGCAGGGCTCTTGAAATCAATGTAAGCTCGAGCATATCTACCATTCTTTGGGCTGCAAAAAAATCATTAAAGGAATTGTACATTAAATCAACAATAAGTGATAGTTTTAGATAAAAATGATTTGATAAAACAAAAAAGGAAATAGTCAATAGGACATCAACTAAATAGCATTCCATGTTAGATATCCTTTCTATTGGCATAAATCGGCAATGCCATCAAATTAAAAGTCGTCAGTAGCCAAAACGTCATCACCCTTCAAGACTTTGACGAGGTATACAAAGGTGAATCGCAACACTTAGTCATAAGTAGCAGGGACAAAAGATGTCATGTATATAATGCAGAGCATGCACCATAAAATTCCAAAACCAACTCCCATAATTTGTCTGGCAAAAAGTAAATTTGGAGCAAATAAGCTTGCTGTGTTGAAACGAACAGTTTAAGATGGTGAATTCAGAAAAAAAAAAAAGTGACAAAATGAGTTGTTCGTATGATCAAAATCTACGTTTACGTAAAAAGATGGAAAGCATGTAGCATAGATATTAGTAACAAATTCAATAATACAAAATAACAGCCCAAACGTCTACTAATTTAACCATTACCAGCAAAATTGGTGTTCATGACTAATTCGAGATGTGAAACCGGAAAAATAAAAAAGCCTTCAACAGCATTCTAGAAAACGATATTACAATCATCACAAGAAACAACCCTCAAATTGAACAACATTAAATCACTTTAACATACCGAACCGGAAACTCTGTCTCAGTTTTGATTATAGCTAGTTTCCTATGAACTAAAATCGCACTCCGAAACATAATATTAGATAGATACTGTATCCTGCAAGTTGATAACAACATGGAAATGAGGCACATGACATTAAGGCAAGAACAATCATATACCATCTAAAATCACCGCAGACCATCACGAATAAAGCAAGCGATATGGGTTAATTGCATAAGGGAGGAATTTGTAAATTGTAACACAGGAGGCCGCAGGATTGGAGAAAAGAAAAGCCAACCTGCTCTTGCCCGGCCGAAAGAAGAACCACTTGTACCGGCCGGAAAACTTGTCTTCAATCTGCTCCGTGAGAGCAGGTTCAGTGAGAGACGGCGGCAAGTGTCGGAGTACGACCTTCGTCCTCTCCAAAGGATCCTTCATGTCACGCAACCTAAATAACACAAAACAGGAAGTATACCCACCGAAATCGAGGGCGAATCCCTACAAACGCGTAAATCACATCTCCACCAGGGCCTCGGATTGCAGCGTTACAGAGTGAACTGGGGGCGTTTTGTTACTCAAATAGGGTTTCATACTTTCATCTGCGGGACGGAGCGAAGCGAAACAGTCTGAGATCAATGACCATGAAATCGGCCAAAAAAATACACGATTTTATAAATCTAAGTATATGTAATTATTTTATATTCCGTAGAACAAAATTTTACAGAATTTATAGAAAAATGTAAGGTTTAGAAATATAAAACTGGATTATTTTAAGAGTGAAATATCTGCAATTTCGAGTGCAGGTTGATGTTTATTTATCTACTGTATATATTATCGGTGGAATATTTAAATTTATTGAAACTTTTTCTTTAATTTTCATCGTAGATTTTTAGTTTAAAAATATATATCACTAATTATTAAGTTATATTATCTAATACTGAAAATTTAAAAATAGTTATGATATTTACTTTTAATTACATTAGTTTATTCAAATCTGCACTTAGGTAGATTATATTCATTGTCATCCCTAATGCCACTCTTATTTAATAAGGATTGTTGCATCCTGGAATATTCATGGCGATAGAAAAATATAAAGTTTAATATCTTCGTTTTGTACAAAGATCCAACACACAATTAGATAAAAAGAAAAAGTGTAGCGTTTATAAGAGACATCAGAATTTTTACGTGGAAACCCCTGAAAATGGAGAAAAACCATGGGGTATAGCCTAGTTTGAATGAATCCACTATTGTTTGTAGTCGATTACAAATGAGGCCCTTCCTTAGGGGGAAGGCCTTGGCTTGAGGTATCATATATATATTAAATAAAGTGCATTACATTGTGGGAATTGGAAGAATCATTATTGACATGTTCCTTTAATCGGTAGGCGACGAAGGTCAGAAAGATCGTAGTCGGGTGACGGAGGTCAGAACGATCATATTCAGCGGGCGACGGATGTCTTAAGGACCGTAGTCGGTAGGCAATGGTGGTCAGAAAGATCGTTGTCTGGTGATGGAGGTCAGAAGCATTGTAATTGACATGCGATGGGGGACGGAAAGACCGTATTCTAGCGACAGAGGTTAGAATGATCGTAGTCGACAGGCTACATTGGTAAAAAGATCATAGTCTAGCGACGGAGGTCAAAAAAACTACAATCGGCGGATGATAGTGGTCAGAAACACAGCTGTCTGACAATGGAGGTCAAAAGGACCATAGTCGGCGGGCAGTAATGGTCATAAAGACCATTATCTGGTGACGGAGGTCGGAAGGAGCATAATCGACGAGCGATGGGGTCAAAAAGACTGTAGTCTAGCGACGGAGGTCGAAAGAACCATAGTCGCGAGCGATATTGGTCAAAAAGATTGTATTCTAGCGACTGAGGTCAGAAGGACCGTCATTTGGCTACGGAGCTCGGATGGACCATAGTATGCGAACGATAGTGGTTAGAAAGATCGTTGTCTAGCGATGAAGGTCTGAAGGATCGTAGTTGGCGAGCAACAGTGGTCACAAAATGACTTGTCTATCGACAAAGGTCGGAAGAACCATAGTTTGTGGCCAATAGTAGTCAGAAAGATCGTTATCTAGTGACTGAGGTTTGAATAATCATTATCAGCGGGCGATAGTGATAAGAGTGATTGTTGTTAGTGGGCTTGTGGAAGTCAGACGTCAATCGGTGGTCAGGCAAAAGCCCGGATCAGTTAGTTGCCGGGCAGAAGTCGGTGATAGTTCGAAGACGGTCGGTGGTTCAACGATGTTCAAGGATGAGTTTGGTGGCAAGAGAACTCTAATTTCTCTCTCTTCCTTCTCTTCATTGCTCCTGTCCTTCCTTGCTTAGCGCCCCCC